TGTATTGTCACGTGTTTTCCACTTGCTTATTCTTTAATTTTGCTATCATTGATTCTTCTACAAAAGTATGCTACGATTGAAATTATTATATATTTTAATGAGATATATATTTATTTTTGTATATATTATTATTTTTATATATACATATATTTTAATCAATCAAAATAAAATAAGAATGAAAAATTTTCGTAATGATTTCACACATTTAAAAATTGAAATTTTTATACATATTTTAATAAGTAATAATCAAAAATTAAAATATAAAAATGATAAAAATTTTAGTATTTTTGAAAATTAATTACAAATTATATTTTGTAACAATTTTTAATAATTAATGTTCAATAAATCGAATTTTAATTAAATCGAAATCTAATCTAATGAGTATAGATCTAATGAAAAATTTTAAACAATAAAAGTTACTGGTATATATATCATCTATTGAGGAAAAAAAAAGAAACTTATCTGGACATGATCATTTTACAGGTATATGCTCAGTAATATGGGCATTAAAAATGCTACTTGCTGGTATCAGTACTTCCATGTATTTTATGAAAGCTGATCAATTTGCGTTAATGATTTTACGTTTTGCAAATTTGGCAACCATTTTGAATTTATTAATAGTAACACTTAATGAATATGTTTACATCGTTTATCCATTTCACTATCGACGACTTGTCACTCAGTTAGTAGCTAATTTGCATATTTTGTATTTTCTTTTGTTTATTCTGATCTACAGCACTAGACTATCGTAGTAAACTTTACTGAAATTTATATATGAGTAAATAATAATAAACCATTGGCTTAATGCATGTCTGTGTCTTTTTTTTTCAAATTTATATATTTGATTACGAAAAAAAGTTCAACTAAGAATTTAAATGACATTGTAAAATTTGAAAAAAAAATGTTTACTTTGTTTAATCCCAAATACTAACAAAAAATGGGAAAAAAGTTTAATTATTAATATCAAGTTTAAAGGAAAAAAATTATCCCAACGTATTAAGTTATACAAACAATTGAACATGATAAATATGTTAATTTAAAATTTCATTATGTCTTTATTTGCATTACTGTACTCTAAATTTTTTTGATTTTAAAAGGAATCAAATTTACAGTACAAGAGTTACCTTGTTAATTGCAACTACATGGATAATAGCATGGGGATTTACACTGTCTATTTTATTCTTTGGTTCACGAAAGCAATCTATTTATATCAAACCGGATTGTTTAATGAAGCGAAAATATTTTGATCATAACGTAAATAGTGATGGTAAGTGATATTTTAAACCTTTTATAATACAATATGTAAAAATTTTAAATTATGTTTAAGAATTTAAATGAACAATTTTGGATTAAGTTATTCATGTAAAAGAAGATTATAAATAAAATTGGATAATTGATAAAACAATTTTGTTTTATTTTTTAATTAAATATTCCATAATCCATTTATATTCAATTTAATTAGTCCGAAAAAAAAATGTAAAAAGAAAAAGATGAAGAAAAAAAAATTAAAACTTTTTTTAATCGATAATATGTTGTAATTGTCCATTATTTTTTTGTTTCATTTCAGTTAATTAAAGTATCAATTTTTTTTCTAATTTTTAAAACATTTGAACAGTTAACAATTTTAGCAACAGGAACTACCATATCAATACCAACAATAACAACAGTAACAACAACAACAACAACAACAACAACAACAACAACAACAACGACAACAACAACAACAACAACAACAACAACAACAGCATCAACAGATGATATTTTTTATTCATTACGTTTACCATCGTGTAAGATTGTAGCTATCGATTTTTTTATTTATTTTCATCTTTTTTCCTTTTTCTTTTTTGTTTGATTATTTAAACGACAGTAACATAAGTATTAGAAAATTTAATAATGAAGTGGAAAAGAAAGAAAGCAAACAAGTAAACAAGCAAATAAACAATAAAATAGGTAAACAAATAAAGGAACAAATAAACAGACAAATAAATGAACAAACAAACAGATGAATAAGTAAACAAATAAACAAACAAATGATAAAACAAATAAACAGGTAAGTAAACAAGACCAGAGAGTTTTATTTAGAAAGGAAGTATTTCTGAATTTAAATTTTACTTTCAAACTTACAGCATGTTTTATACGCAATAGTCAAATATCAAATAATACCGAATTTATTTATAATACATCTGTTATTATATTTTGTTTCGTATGTTTGATTATATCAATTGTATGCTATAGTGGATTAATTCGTGTCATTTCAAAAATTGTTAAAAGTGATACATCGGTATGTTACTTCCATTGATTTGAAATTTTTAATTTCTGAAATTTCATTTTAAATTATTTCTTGATTCGCTCAAACATTTTATTTATTTTTGAAATTATGCAGTTTTTTTTTCACTTCATTTAAGATAGCTATCTAATGCATAATTTTGTTGAATATTAATAATTTGGAAAAAAAAAGGTTTAATTAATTACAGATATCAGTTTATAATGATTATCAAGCTAACGATAGTATAAATGGTAAGTAAATTACAACCTACAATGTATTATTTGCTCATTAAAACATTTGTAAATTATGATAATTTGAAATAGAAATATTATGTTTAAAAAAGCACGAAATTAAATTAAAGATTAACAATTCATTAATAACTGAAAATTTCTTTACTTCAAAAGTTTATTCACTTCATTTGCTCCTAAAATTTACTTCGAAATATCTTTTTTCATTTTTTTTAAAATTTCAGGTGAATTTAATCGAGCAAAGAAGCAAATATTGAAAAGGAACAAATATGTTATTGTTATTGGCAGTGTACTGGCTATCTATACTGTTTATTTTATTTCTTATTCAGCTATAAAATTTTTATTTGTTACTAGGCTAAAAAGGTTCCAATTTAAATTATTATTATTTATAATTAACATTGAAAATCATCCAAAATGTAAAATTTCAATTTTTGAAATAAATGGGTTTTTTTTGAAAAATTATCAAAATTATTGGATAAATTAGACTGGTCAAAAAGATTGATGAAATGAAAAGATTTGATTGGTTTCAACAAATAATGTAAATTAAAAAAGAGGCAAAAAGATTTAAACAAATATTCTTACATCAAAATATCCTTATCACTTGTAATTGCTAAATTATCACTAGTGATTAAAAAAATTCTATCTTATATTATTTCAGTTTTTTTCTTTTTCCTGATACCATTTAAGTTCACGTCTGAATATCATACGCACGGGTATGTGGAGTCAAAATAGCCATATCATTTGTAATTGTTAAATTATCATTAGTGATAAAAAAAATTCTGTTATCTTTATTGATATCATTTAAGTTCACGTTTGGGTATTTCACGCACGGCCATGTATTACGTACGATGGGGTTTTCAAACGTTAATGTGTTTGAATGCGCTTCTGCAACCACTTTGCTATTTTAGGATACATGAATTTCGAAATGCTTACAAAGGGTATTCATTGCATTGTGTATTTATTATCTTATTAAATTTCCAAAAATTTTAATTACTAAATTTCAATGATCAATTTTACGAAATATTTAAAAGATACACAATTAAAAAATTTGCGAAATATAGGGATTCATTTAAAATTAAAATTGCAGTGATCATGAAAAAATTGAATTGAAATTTTGATGACAATTTAATTCGAGTAATAGTTCAATATTTCTAAAGGAAAAAAAAAACTTAAAGAAATCATATGAAGAAATTTTTCAGCATTATATTTTGTCGTAAGCAAAGGGAAACATTGAATGCTGAAACAATCTATTTATCCATTACGGAAAGTCGACGACGAACAGTTTTTGGTAGCACTAAAAGAAATGATGGAAATGAAAGAGTAAAAGCAATTTAGTTTGGAGCAATTGTCAAAATTCTGGAACTATTTTCGTTAAATCGGATCGTATTTCCGTATAATCCTTCCGGAATACATTTATAATTTGTACATTGAAAAGATATGAATGGGAAAAATAAAAAGAAAAAAATGGATAAAAATGATGGAAAAGAAAACGAAAATAGAAATTTTCATTTATTTAATTTTTTTTTCCCAAAAATTTTTTTACTTTTTCTTTTTTTTGTTTTGGAAATGAGAGCAAATCATACTTAATGAGACAATATTTAAAAAATTTTTGCATTATTGACCGCTTTATTCGCACTCTTTGCACTTTTGATACATAATAATTATCAAAATGTAAGTGAGAATTCTCATATTTTAATTTGAACTTAAATTATGAAATTAAAAATTCCTGCATTTTTAGCTAATTCTGTTTTTCTCATAATTTCTTCAAAAATTTTTTTCCCACACTTTTCTCTATTATCTTTATTCGCTTTATAGGTTCATTCAATTTATGACATGCAATGCTTAATGTTTAATTTTTTTAAAGCTTTATTCACGGATCGAGTATTTGACATGTTGGAATTTTGTTATACATCATTTCAGGATAATCTATTTTATAATTCATAAATGTAAATGTTTTGCTGTATGCCATGGATTGCTTTGATCATATCATTTCACAGTAATTTATTTTATAGTTCATAAAGACAGCTATCTCGTTTTCTTTATACCATAAACTGTTTTCCTTATCATTTCGTATTATATCATTTGCATCAATTTTCCTCCAATTATAATTACATATTCATTTGCTTGTATGCATATGAATATTTGCCGTATTAAATTTGTTATCAACTAAATGAATGCTCAGAAAATAATTTTTCGTTTCAATTATTTAAGTTTCGATACTTTTTATTTTCCACTGATATATTTCAAATGATTTGACAATTCTTCAAATTATTTTCATCAAGTTAAAATAAAATTTTACTTATCTTTTGTATGTGTACGAATGCGTGTGAGTGTGTAAGTGTGTTTTTCCAAATTCTTTTTCATTAAATTAAAATGAAATTCTCAACTATCTTTGTACGTATACGTGTACGTGTGCGTATATGTATATTTATATTCATGATAATTTAAAAATCATGAATAAAGCAACGAAGATAGTCATTGAAATGGATTTATGAATGTTGTTATTAGCACGAATCACGTATTACATAAAGTTATCGAAAATTTTAATTTATTGCTTGTCAAGAATTTTTTTTTTTTTTTACAATCAAATGAATGGAAATAGTATAGATTAGTGGTGAATATGTAAAAAATTGTAAGTTATTATTTAACGCATTGAAACTGTGAGATGTCAGAACCTATATGTTAAAAATGTCAAAGTTCAAATAGGAATCATTTCTAGTGAGTATACTTGTTGTTTTTTTTTTTTTTATTTTGATCATTTTTGTTTATGTGATTTGGAAAAAAAATCCTATTGATTTCCTTTAGCTATTGGTGATTAGAATTTTAGCATAAAATTATGAAAATTCTATTCTGAAATTCTATTTCATTTCAGAAATTGTACTCGCAAAACAATGATAATAGTGATAATATTAAGAAGACAATAATGATAATATTAATAATAATATTAGATAATGACAATGGCACGTCATATGAATAGCACATCCTTACTATTTATACAACCATATACTACATTTCAGATTTAATGCTCAATTAATGATATGTTAGGGAATTTCCTTCATTATTTTCTAGCTGAGTCGTATAAGCGGCTTAATCAAATTTAATACTAAATGGTTTCCACTACAATCGATTACGGTAAGATTTAGCAAATAATTCAGGAACGAAATAATTTTAATTTAATTATTTATCACTGCAATAATAAATGCGCTAATCCCATATATACATACATAACTTATAACTATTCCATTTTATGATTAACATTTAATTTGTTTGAATCCATGAGTTCAAATTTAAATTTTAAATAAAACTCAGTTGACGGTGAAATTAAATTCAAAAATAACTCAAAAGGAAAATAAATGGTATCAATTATTATAAAGTTGCATTTAAATGATAATAATCGAATTAATACCTTTTTCAATTTTTTTTTCAATTTCGAAATTTTCACTAATTTTATATTTCATTCTTTGAATATTCACGTATAAATTGTTGTACGTCGTTTAATAGTTTGACGACAAATATGACACACTTTCAATTTTGATGGATTACTACATTCCACGCATGCTGTATGTCCACATTGAAATACAATGCTACAACGTTGATCCATGCATATTGCACATGTCACTTCGAGCTCTAGTTGTTCTAACTTATCACGTAATTCACGTACAATTTCATTTTTCTCTATAACAAACAAAATTGCCAAAAACTGATGTAAATGGTGCAAATGTTAGCATTATTTACGTGAAACATACGTGTTGTCACATACTTTTTTTCTCATTTTTTTGTTTCATTTTTTTTTTGATGTCATATATTTCGTAATGTCACATATATTTCATTTCGTTATTGTACATTTCTAACATAAAGCATTATTTTATTTTCTTTTTTCGTTTATCTTCTAAAAGAAGTTGGAAAGCATTCCAGGTTCAATTTCAATTTAAAGCCTTAATTTAACTTTAGTTATTAATTTTTAGCACGCTAGGCTTATAAGGTTAACTGGTCTTATATTAACTTAAACCTTGATTAATTGGAATGTATCAAAATGAGCCACTTCCAAAAAAAAAAAAAAAAATTACCTACCTTCTTCAACGGCTTTTTTGGCACGTTCAACAGCTTCTTGTGCTATTTTTGTAATTTCCATTTTACCAACCATCTGAACATTTTCACCCAAACCAATATCACCATATCGTATAATCTTACTACCAATTTCAACTTCTTCACCATCTAACCTGTTATCATTGAAATAAGCTTATATCATATTTAGCTATCAAAATACATATGAAATTTACTTGGCATTTTATTTTCAACTATTTTTGCAGTCTAATATGTTATTTATTTGAGAAATAAACAAATTTATGGAAAAATAAAATAGGTAATAAATAGCAACAATAATTAACATTAGCTTAATAATTATTTAAGAAAAAAATTATAAATTTAAATAGGTTTAGTAATAGGAAATGAAGTAGTTTTCTTATCATTACCATAATTATTCTAATTACTCTTTTAATTCATTTTAAAAATTTTAATAATTTCCAACTAACAATCATACATGAATTTTTTGCCATAACAATTTGTTGATAACATAATGGACAACGTCTGAGTAAAGTGTTACCGGCACAGGTAGCACAAACTACTCGATGACCACAAGGAATGAAAACGATATCCGCTATATTGTCATCACAATTAAAGGTACACATTGTCACCCCAGTGGTATCAAAACTTTGTGCTACCGTACGACTCATTGGAACACATGATCTGAAACTTATTTGTGAATTGGTAAATTTTCACAAAGGAATAGAAACAAATTAAACTGGCCAAATTATTTAAATAGGAATAAGTAGCAAAGTTAGAATAAAAATTGAATAAATCAATAAATGAATGGGTAAGAATAGAACATAATTTTAAATTTATTTCTGATATATTAGGCCTTATGTTTTTTTTTTTAATATTAAAATTTTGGCAAAATTTGAGAAAATATTATTTAAAATTTCTTTATTAAAAAAATCCAAATTTTTGCACTAAAAAATTGCCTATAATTCGAATTCATGATCAATGGATTTTGGATGTCAAGGAAAACAATGTTTGAATGACAAAAATAGAATATTCTTACTGAATAATTAAAATCATTAATCAGTTCCTGCCTCTGGCGTTTAGTATAATTCCACTCCAAATAACTGATTAAATGTCAATTTCAAAAGCTTAAATCTTTTGCAATTTAATTCCAAGCTTTGAAAATTTCTTAAATTTTAAATTTGGAAGTTTTCTTTAATTTTTTCTTTCTCTTTTCAGTGCTAGCATATGAAATCTTATTAAATGAATTTACAATTATTTGTATCTCAAAAAAAAAGGAGTGAAAATGTTGATTGCATATAATAGAATTGATATTTAAAAAATTTTTTCAAAGATATTTAATACTTTTAAAAATTATTTTCCATAAAGTTTTCATTTCATCACAAAAAAATATATTATAAAATATGAAAATAAAATTATATTATAAAATTATAATGTATTATAGGGTCTTGCGTTTCTTCTTTATTTTTTTAAAAAATTAAATCAAAAGAATTCGTTAATTAAATTTAATGAAATGAAATTCAAATTATAAAAAGAAAAAAGTTGCATAATTTTCTGCTTTTAACTTATTTTTTCCTTGCTTACCCATCTACTGATATAATATATTATCAAATTGTTCATTATTATTTAATGATTGTTTGTAGAATAACTTTCTTTTCCTTCTCTTTTTTTTATTTAAAAAATTCATTCTTAACAAATGTAAGAAATTCATTTCTTATGTTCGATTAAACTTTATTAATTATTGATGTGCTTTACAATAAGAAGAGTCAATAAGCTTATGGTACACCTAAAATCTCAGCGAATGTTCAAATATTCTATTTTTGCATGCAGAAAGCAGTAATTGATAAAATCTGACTATTTTCATATTTCCTAAAAAAAAAAGCAAACCACAAAAGGACTTTTTATATACTTTAAAGAGACATTTACGAAGTTAAATAATAGAAGAAAAATAAAAATGAAAATTATTTCCGTAACTTAAGTTTTAATAATTCAATCGAAAGTATTAAATGCTTCAATTGTATTATTGTTTTAATATCATTTGATTTTACTAAAACTTCAAAAATATAAATGAAAACGATTCCATTTATATTACTATTATTATTACCATTTATTATTGTTATTATTGTTAATAATAATTAATAAGAACCTTGGCCTACAGGTAACATACTGTTCAAATAAGGACTTCAGGGTTGGTTCGGTAACTAATTCAAATGGAACACATCCGGTGCGATCACGAATTTGCGGATCAGCTCCTTGCGCAATTAGAAAACACATTACCGCAACAGGCCACTGCGGACGAAATGCTGATGCAAGTTCTTCCAAACGCTGGAGTAATAACGAAAAACAATAACTTTTTTGATTTCAAGTCTAAAAAATTGCAGATGGACTCCAAAATTTTAAATTTTGAAGAGTTCGTCAGAAAAACGAATATAAATTAGTTTTAATTAATATTAAAATGGATGAAAATTAGCTTTTTTTCCATTTACATTAACTTTTCAAAAAAAAAGGAGAAAATGGCAAATAATAAAATTATTGGTGAGTTTCTTTTCTTTCTTTTCTTGAAACAAACAGTTATTTTTCAATAAGATTAATTACTAAATTAATTACCATATTTGATTTCTTCATCTGTAATACAATTTGTATTTTATTATTGCTTATTGTAGCTTGTCCCTGGGTTGCTTGAGCTGCTAAATGTAATGCAGTCATACCATCACAATCTCGTGTATTTAATGGTACACCCGAGGATACGAGTAACTGGACATGAAATATTTAAAATAATATTAAATTTTATATTTGAAAATTATGAATTAATTTCGTTCCGAAACCTAAAACTGCATTTTAATATTTTTTCTTTTTTTATTATTATTTCTATGATCAATTTTATTTCATTTCCGCATATGAAAAAAATATAAATTACAAATTAAATCTATAAAATATAAATTAAATTTGTTTTGAAATTTGAAAGCATATTTAAATAATTATTCCAAAGTCCTATCTTTTGTTCTCTTAAATATTTTTTTTAATTATTGTTATAATAATTATTATTTTTCCCTTATACATGCAATAAACACTGATATGAAATTGATGAATAGTTTTAAACTTTCAGAGAAACAACTAATCATTTGAATAGAGTATCACAATGATTTACTTGAATACTATATCATATCTTAATAAATTACTTGAATACAAGAAAGACGTTGCATATCCTTATCAGCATTACCATCCCAACGTTCTACTGCAAAATGTAATGCTGTACGATTAGCTTTGGTTGTTTTGTTTATATCCGAAGAATGCTAAAAATGAAATTTATAAATTTTTTTTTTTTGAAATTGGGATGAAATGAAATTAGCAAATTAAAAAATGTTATAATTTTCAATTATTGGTAATTTTCTTATTTTCCTTGCTTCTCTTATCGCAAAAAAAAAAAGAAAGAAAAAAGGAAAAAAAAACATCGCAAATTGATGAAAATAAAATTATAAGATTGGAAAAAAAATTTGAAGACTTTTCAATTTTTTGGTTTCGTTTTTTGAATATTAAATTTTTTTTTCATCTTTTAATTCTTACTTTAAGAATAATTTCTAATACATTAATATGACCATATGCTGCGGCAAGATGTAATGGTAATAATGAGTAACAACCATCCGATACAAGAAGTATTGGTTTCATATGAATCATCGATTCTACAATTCTGCAAAACATTTTGTTAAATGTTAATTATCAAATTTAGTGCAATTAATTTGACAAGAATTTTCTTAATTAGTCAAAAAAAAATTAATTTGAGTCAAAAAAAAGCGAAATAATTATTTTAATACATTACATTTTTTCCCCATTCATTTACTTTTTCTACGGGGTTTTTTTTTAAACAATCTCAATTTGATAACAATCAAAGCTTCACATTTATAGTGACCCTATATTACTGTAAGTATTATAGCAACCAATTACTGTAAATCTTACAGTAGCCTGTAAATGTTGCAGTAACCAGTATCTGAACTTTAGTGTTAATTAAATTTCAATTAAATGCTAAGTATTATTGAAAAATACTGTCAAAATCTGAAAATAATTCTATCGTAATTAATTTTTTATGGAAATATGGTAAGAATTAATAAATTTCCCTGGTAATTTTTGTTTTTTTTTTTAAATAATTTTGAATCATTTTCCCCTTTTTTTCGTTTAGATAATTTCAAATGTTACTTATGCTGATTAGTGATAATTGCAAGTTGTAGTGGAGTTAATCCATCATTATTTATTATCAGTTGATCAATTTTAACATTTGATAATAGACGATGAAGCATTGCATCACGAACTGGTATATCTTCCATTGCAGATAATATATGAAGAGGTGTATTACCATCATTATCCTTTATATTTTCATCATTCATTAGTCTTATTACTTTTCCCCTAATTCAAATATAAAATATCTTTATTGTTTATTATTGTAGAAGCAAAGAATAAAAAATAAAAAATAATTTTTTTAATGTTCCGTTAAAATTAATCAATTAATTTTTTGTCCAGTATTTGAAATTATAAAAACCTTTTGGCGGTAAAATAATTTTAAAAAGGGATGAATTGGTTGCTTTTTAATGAAAATTTAAAAAAAAATTGAACCCAAAAGTAATGATTAAAACAAGGATTATTTTGCATAATTTTAAAATATCGAAAAATTTTTGGAAGTAGTTTTGTTGCTAACTACAAAATAACTAAGAAATATTTAGTTTTGATTAAAAATAAAATTTAATATTTAATAGATATGAGAATGACTGTGTCACCTGTATATTTGGATCAATTGTAGGTGCATTTAAAAGTCGATCAATACAAGATAAATGACCATTCAAAATGGAATAATGTAAAGGTGTTTCACCTTTAAAATTTTGCAAATTGACATCATCAGGTGAAAATATCATCAAACCTTCGATAATTTGTTTATGACCTCTGTAAAGTATTGATGGAAAATTCATTCAAGAAAAAAAATTTCAAACTTTGGGGGCGAAAATTTACTTCAGTTATGAACTTTCCAAATAATGGATAAATAATACTAACATTTTCAAAAATTTTGGCCAGTTTTTCTTTTTTTTTCGCAGAAAATATTATTAAAATGTAGTTCTATTAACTAATTAGTCAGTAAGTACCAAATCAAATTTACTTACCTTTTAGCAGCTATATGATAGAGACTATTACCTTCTGGATCAGTAATGTTTTTTCGGCACCAATACATAACAGTACAACTACTGCTGACCAAAGGCCTAAGTCAACGGCTAACATCAAAAGTGTTTGTCCATCAATTGCAGCATTTTTCTTCAAAATTACAATAATAGTAAAACTTTATGCTTAGTCTTCGTCTAATATAACATGCTAAACAATGCAAGACTTGAAAAAAAAGTTTAAAAATTAAAAAACTTTACCAACCATTTCCGGATAATAATAAAGTATCAGATGAAATTGCTTCTCATCACCGGTTTCAGCCCAATAACGTAATGCTTCCATTATATCAGTTACATTTGGTACCATTGTTACTACACCAAATACAACACGTTCCGGAGTACGATTTATATTTGCCAAATGTATTGGAAGATTCCGGTCATGCATTAAGGTTGACAAATTTCGACCTAATTTTAAAAAAAAAATACACATAACTTCTGTGCTTCTTATCATTATGCACTTTTTTTTTAGTTGAAATAAGATTTAAACTCAAGAAAAAGTTCCAACTTAAATTTATGCATTAGTACTCAAATGTAGTTGTTTTAATGAAAGATTTTAATTACCTGAATTATTAATTGATTATGCATCTGCATGGTAAATTTGTAAAAAATGGAAAGAATTCCGAAAAAAAAGTAATTAATTAATTCATAATTAGTGGTCGATTAAATTGAAAAGAAAAGTTAAATTGGAAAAGTTTCTTCTACAATTATTTAAACTAAAGATTTCTTTTTTCAGCTTATTGATAAACTCATTTTATAACTATATTTGAATACTTTGACTTGTTAATCGAAGTATTTAAATATAGTTGTTTTAATGAAATATTTTAATTACCTAAATATACAGACAAAATAACATCGTCCAAATTTTCCAATTTTTTTCTGATTAAAGCTAATCAATTAATAATTAAAAGTTGATTAAATTGAGAAAAAAGTCTGATTAAAATGATTTTTCCTTTTTAATAATTATTTAAAGTAGTTTTTTTCCTGGCTTATTGATAAACTTAATTTATAAAACTGAAATACTTAAATGTAGTTGTTTTAATGAAAGATTTTAATTACCTGAATATATGGGTAAAATAACATCATTCAAATTCTCCGATTGTTTCCAAATTAACGATTCAGCATGTGGCAATCGTAATGCAAACGTTTCCTCATCCAAAACACGAATTGATACCATTATTGCTTTACTCAAATCCTAAAAAAAGAAATGGTTATAAGTAATTTTATTCCTCCTTTTTTTTTTAAATCCTACTATTACTTGATTATTCTCGCATTATACACGTAAATTTTACATCATAGTATAATTAATATTACATAAAATTGAAATGATATGATTAAAATTTGATAAACCTTATTTCGTATCATAATTGCTCGATCACCATCTAACATGCAAACATTTTGTGCTAATAGGACACTTTTTGGATGCCATGAATATGTTGCTTCAACTACAGTATTCCGTCCTATTTCCGGTTGATTTTTTTCATCTTGATTAGTATTATTATTTGATGTAATTGTTGTTGTTGTTGTTGTTGTTGTTGTTGTTGTTGTTGTTGTTGTTGTTGTTGTTGTTGCTACTGATGCTGTTGTCATACCTTCAGATGTTCCCCAACTAAAAATTGTAACTTGGATCGATTCCATAGTTACATCTTTTACAATACCAACTTTACCAATATACTGAAATTATATAACCTATAAATTTAAATATTTAATTATTAAAATTAAAGTTTTATTCTCATCTTTTTACCATTTTATAAAATATTAATCAAACTTTTCTTTTTCCTTTTATTGAATGCAAATTTTTATTATTAAAACATACGGT